TTGGGCACACCCAAAAAAGCCTGAGTTCCCCTGTTGGGGCTGCATGATAAGAACTGGATTCTTTGACCAGCAATCTCAGGTTGGGCTTGTCTGTCAGTTTCTGCAGAACCGGAGGCTGTTACTCAAAATTACGGTGGTTAGTTTCAGCATGTGAGCTTGTTGCTCCTTCAGTTGTTAACAGGTAGAACCTGATGCAGCAGAACAGCTCGTCATTGGATACAAGTCATTGATCATAGCTATTGAAATTTTGTTTGACACACACTCTGTGACGTTGGATACTTCTATGTTGCTGTCTTTGATCTTGTATTAAGACATCTTTTAAGGGGAAAAGAAGAATCTTTCACTTGGTGATAACAAAAACAAGGTGGACCTGCCAATCTGGACTTTTTATGATGCCAGACTTAGGTGACTGTGTATGAGTGCACGCATGCTCTACATGTGTGCATGCATGTATCCTTCCACGTTAAAGAAAGGTGCAGGTATTGACCAGGTTTTAGAATGGAATAGAGGTAGAAAGGATTGAGAAGGAAGATTTGTGGGGATTTGTAGATTGGGGAAATGGAGAGTCAGAAGAGATTAGGTGACCAGTGTAGGAGGAAACAGGCAGGAAGAGGAAGGGCCAGGGTTAGAGTGAGGTTCTTCAGTCCCTGACTCAAGGCTTGCTTTCTTAGCTTCCCTTGTTTGTAGGTGGCTCCAAAACCTCTATCTAGACCAAGAAGTTGTTGTCTGAACACAAGAAGGGAATACTACATGGTTCAAAATCAGGAAGGGAATGCATCAGGGATGTATCCCTTCTCCACACCTTTTCAATCTATAAGTAAAACAGGTCATTTAGTAGGCTGAACTTTATGAAGAAGAATGTGGATCAGGATTAGAGGAAGGCTCATATGCATTATCCAGGTGACACAACCTTTCTCACCAAAACTGAGGAGAACCTAAAGCTTTTGCTGCAAAAGGTCAGAGATAGTAGCCTTCAATATGGATTGCATCTCAGCATCAAGGAAAAAGAAAGATCCTCACCACCAGGCTAATAAACAGTATCACGAGAGATGGAGAAAGACCGAGATTGTTAATGATTTCATCTGCTTAGATCCACAATCGACATTCTTGGCACCAGAAGCCAGGAAATTATTGGGAAAGTGTGCTGCCAGGCTCTTCAGAGTGCTAAAGTGCAATGATGTCAGTTTAGAGATAAGGTGCACTTGATCCAGGCCATGGTCATCCCAACTGCTTGCTATGCATCTGAGAGCCACACAATAACTAAGAATGACAGAAGAAGAACCGATGCCTTTGAGTTGTGGTGCTGAAGAAAAGTACTGAACATACCATAGACATCCAAGAGAACAAATAAATCTGTCCTGAAGAGGGTGAAATCAGTTTGCTCCTTGGAAGCAAGGATTTTGAAGCTCTATCTCACCTACTTTGGGCATGTTGACAGGAAATAGCAGTTCTTGGAGAAGGTGCTTGGAAAGATAGAGGATCAGTGCAGAAGAAGAAAGCCCTGGATGAGATATAGTGACACAATGACTGTGGCAGTGAGGTCAGGTGTGTGTGTCTGAGACAGTCATGTTAGCTCAGAGCCATTGTTCAAAGAGTCGCTATGAGTCATAGTGGACTTGATGGTACGTAGTAACAATAGCAACCAAGTGCTGGTGATCAGGAGCTATGGGAAGCTTCCCTTCCCCGGTATGGGAGAACCCTGAATGACTTCCTCCTGGAGACCTCCGAGACCTTCAGGGCTGGGAAGACCTGACTCTCATGGAGAGGAGCCTGTTGGAGTACTGAATCAATTTTACAGCTGTAGGGTCTTTGACACATTTCTGAACCTGTCCCGGACTGTTTTGCCATCTACCACTGTGGAGGTTTATGGGGAAGAGGTATATCGTCATCTCGCCCTGTCCTCTTGGATTCCTCTGGGTAATTGTTAGCTCTGGTTACTGGGAAGCCATTTGAGGCAGGCAGAATCATGGTGACTTCTTATGAGCTGTTGGGGAGGGGGTGTCTGAGGCCTCCCTCTGCCTTTCCCCACCTATCTCCTCAACAGAGCCAGTATCTGACTTAAGAGGGTCCAAGGTGGGTGGGACTCAGCCAGGGGCTGTGTGTGGTTATGTTCTGTCAAATTGGAGCTAACTCATAGCTGAGTTTTCAGAGGCTGTAAATAACATAGGAGGAAATTAGCCCATCTCTTCCACAGAGCAGCTAGTGGATATTAGCCGCCTGCCTTTAGGTTGATAGTGCAACTCCTTAACCATTAGGCCACCAGCGCTTCCTAGAAGCTCTGTGTAGAGGGATTCTCCAAATGGCTTCCTTGGCATTCTGGGTCTAGGGGCTAGGTGATGGTCTGTTTGTCAGGAGCTTCCACTGGCCACTTCCTTGCCAAAGAGGTCTGGTGACCTTTCTACCCATCTGACCAATCTTTTGTTTATTGTATTGCTGTTGCTAAGATGAAGGGAGGGTGGCAGTGTCTTAGGCTTTGGGCTTTCTCATTCATGGGTTCAGCTAGCATGCTGTGAATGCTACTGTGAGTGCTAGGCACTGTGCTGAGTGCTGGGCCTCCAGGTAATCAGGGTAACAGAAAAGTAGCAGGATGATTGTGGTACAGGGTGTACCATAGAAGCAGAACTGACCCAAGCTGACACTCTGGCGCCATCCTCCAGCAGAGCAGTTGGTGGTCTCAAACTGCATGCCTTCAGGATTGCAGTGCAACTCCTTGCCACTAGGCCACCAGAACTACCTGCAAGTGAGATCTGCACATGCTCAGAGAGGGCACAAAGACCTGCAGTTACATCCTGGTTAGCCACTTGCCAGCTCTACCCTCTTGGGCCACTCAGAGTTTCAGCCTGCTGGTCCATAAAGTTGATATGAGGATACATTTCATGGGTTGATCTTCCAATTATATGAGACTATTTAGAATACATCTGCACATGGTGTGTAATCAAGAATTGGGAACTTTATTGCTATCATGTTTTTGTCGCTTGAGCCGACGGCTTTGTTGCTCTCCATTCTCATGTTTATCTCTATTTGTGCCTCAAGAGTTCCTTGAGGACACAGGATTCCTTTCTTGCCCACTAATTCTCTTGCTGACCCTCCTTTGACCAGGTTGGCTCAGATATTCGTAGGGCCTTGATGGCTCCCGGGGTCTAGGGTCTTCCTTCATTGACTGAAACTGGAGGCTTCCACGTGGAATTTCCAGCGATTTTAGGACCCTTCTGAGGCTCCACATCTAGTTATGCTGGGTAGATGTGCAGTCACTCATTGTTCCCTCTGCTCATCCCTTCTCCTTGGCCCACAGCTCATGGAATGGAGCAGCCTCTTGGTTATGCACGTCCTGACAAGGCTAGCAGAGGGCACCTGTAAAACCTGTGGTGCACAGCAGGTCTGTCGCTCCGTGGGGGGGGTGGGCTTCAAACATGAGGGAACTCATGCCCTGAGGCTTCAGTGATTCACCTGGGTCCAGGGAGCTTGCCTCAGGCCTGTGTGGCCTCAGAGCCCTCACTCATGCCCTCAAACCAGCCATCTCGACTTCTGCATTTACTGTCCACTTTCTGGGCAGTCCCTGCAGCTGGCAGGCCCTGTGCTCATCCCTTTCTCGGTCTCCCTTGCACATCCAACCTGTATCTAGAGTTTCTGGGTCCCGTAGAGTGCTGAGACCAGCACCAAGATTGTCATTCTGCAGAAACTGAGCCTGGAGAGCCTCTCCATGCTCTCCTCAGGGCTTTTCTCACCTGGCCAGGGCAGTTTGCTTTGCGGGCAGTTTCTAGTTGTGGGAGGGCAAGCCCTGGGTTGCCAAACTGCAACTGCTGCCTGCTGTCCCCACCCATATTCCTGTAGCCTGTCCTGCCTGCTGCAGAGTCTCTGACCTTCCTTGGTCTTGGCATTCATTAGTCATTTCATCCCTCTTGGGCTTTGCTCAGCACCCTGCTCCTTGTGTGTACTCTACAGCACAGTTTTACCTTCTTTTTTTTTTTTCTTTTCAGTGTTACCTTCTTGAGGTGGGTCCTCTGCCAGCTTTCCCTGATCCATAACCTTTCAAGGGATGCTCCTTCCTCAGTGCACACCTCCAGCTCCATTTGTCATGCCCAGCACTCCTATGAGCTCATTCAGCTTGTTCTGTTGGCTGGGCATATGGTAGAAATAATTTGAGTGACCACTGTACTCCAGATCTGTGCTGGGTGTCTGACTTTGAAAACTTGAGGCTAGTGACTGAGGAAGTCCACAGTGTCTAATCAGCCATAAACTGGCCACTGGGAGGGCCTGGAGAAGCTTCCCTGGGAAGTGCTGGTGATGGCACTAGTCTGAGAGTAAGTCTGTGGTCTGTTCCAGAGACCTGGATCTGAAAATGGGACAGAAATGGAGAAGCGAGAGGGAACATGCAGGAAGGAAAGCGAAAAAGAAAGCTTCAAGGAGGGCATGTGTGATTAGAGGAGTTGTGTGAGCCCTTATCCTCAAGCTGAACCTGCATCCCTGGAACATAGCCACATCTGAGTTACTAGTTCTGAGTCTGGGCTCCAGAGCCCAGCACCCTGGGTGCTCAGGCAAAGGTGTGGAGTGGTGAACCAGGACAATGGGACTGCATCTGGGAAGGAGGTGAGGCTGCAGTTCTGACAGCTAAAGCAGTTCTGCCTAGAGGCTCTTGCTCCCCAGAGTCCCTGCCCCCAGTGCCATGGGCTCAGTTACAGCCAGTGAAGAGTCGGCAGCTGGCCTGATAGGCAGTCTGTAGTACCTGCCACCTGGGGCCTGGGCCTGGTGATGAGGCACTTTTTATGTCTTCACTGTACATATACCATATATGATGACCTTGATGTGATGCACACATGTCCCATTACTGTTATGCTCAGCAACCTTGCTGATAGCCCTCACAGTGTGGACAGGCCAGACTGCTGGGACTGCTTCCAACACTCATCCTTGGTATCTGTAACACTGCTGAGCTGCCACAGAGTCCAACTGAAGTGCTGCCACCAGCTAACAACCCATTCTCTCCTTCTCTCCTGCAGGGCACCATGGGCACCAGCTTCCACGAGCACCTGGCACTCCGGAGGTCCTGCCCACAGCCGCTATCCCGGAGCTCTTTCAGCCTGCTGGGTGAAGGCCATGGGCAGAGACCGGCACGCTGCAAAAGCACCAGCAGCACTATGTGGCAGGCCCAGAAGGGTGAGGCCAGCACTGCCCCCCAGCTGCCAGAGGAAGAGGGGTCCCAGGGTGAGTGTGCAGAGCAGGCTCAGGCCTCTACCCTCTGGCTGCAGCCCGGGGCTGTGGGACATTGCCGGAGCAGCACTGTGGGCAATGTGTCCACCATGGGCACTGGTGGCCTGTGCCAGTTTCAGGCCTCTAGCACTGCTGCTGTGCAGAGGAGTCACTCAGACCTGATCCACAGCACCCAGACTAGAGGTCACAGTGGGGTTTGGAAGGCCAGCCTCAGCTGCTCAGCCCTTGGTGGCTCACCCATTCAGGACACCCCATTGCTGCCTGACAGTAATTCTGACCAGGATGTCCACCCCCATGTTCACCTGGAAATGGAGCTGACTTCTGAAAATGGAGCAACTTCTGGAACTGTAGAAATGTTGAACTCAGCCTGGAGCTTGGGAAATAGTCAGGTGTGGGTGCCACCACTAGGCCTGGGGGGCACAGCCACCCATAATAGTAATCCTGAAGCCAGACTTCAAGCCAGTGGACATCTAGCTGCCTCCTCCTGCCATGTTCTGCCTCCAGCAGCTGTCCTCTGCAGCACAGGGGAGGCTGGGGCTTGTGGCTGCTGCCATGACCTGGCCTTTCCCAAGCTGGTGGCATCAGTGAGCGAGTCTAGGCTGCAGGCTCAGCATGGGACAAAATTCCAGTGCAGGTTGCCAGGTGTGCTACCGGTGCCCTCTCATTGCCGTGCTCACCATTGGGGTCCCAGTAGGTCAGCCACAAAACCTGGTGCCAGGACCAAAGATGTGTGCACTATGACCTCAGCCAGTGACTTGGCCCCTGACTTAGTGTCCACCCCCCAGGATGTTGCTCTGCAGGTAGCACCCCTTGCAGCCTGTAAAGCTGTGACCACCAGCCTCCACCTGGAAATCCCTAGGGCCTTGCACATGTCCCCAGAGGCAACTCCAGGGCCCAGCCTGCAGGAGGCACCATGCCCAGTGCAAGACGTACGATGGGACGCAGAAGGCATGACTTGGGAAGTGTATGGGGCCACAGTGGACCCAGAGGTACTCGGCAAAGCCATCCAGAAGCACCTGGAGATGCAGTTTGAGCATCTGGACCCAGAGCCCACCATCAAGGACAGCCTGTCTGAGGAGGGCCGCATGGGGCCGCTGAGAGGCATCATGCAGTCTCTGTGGCTCCCCAGCTGCTGTGGCTGCTCCAGCACAGCCCCTGAGTGAGGCCCCTGGAGCAGAGGTTCCACACTCATGGTGCACTCAACAGCCTGGCCTACAGGCCACAGATACACACATGGCTTCCTGCTCTGCACGGTGTGGCTTTGTTTAAGGGCTTCACTTCCAAGAGTGTCCTCCTGACATCATGATCTCTGGACTTTAGAATGGGACTTCGGCACTTTGGATAAGGGACTACCCAGTTTTTCTGTAAAAATACCTGGGTTCTATTGGGTTTGCCCTCAGAACTCTGCTATGTTCCCTGGGGCTCCTCGTGGCTTTATCTGAAAGTGGGGTTGGAATGAGACCTTGACATGGGCCCTGAGGCCCCAAGGGGCAGGCAGGGACTTGGAGGCTCTGCCCTTGTGAAGATGGTCAAAGCCTCATGTGTGCCATGCTATGCTAGTCAGCTTACTATGCTGGGTTCTCAAATTCAAAGCTCCACTGCTCATGTGAAGCTACAGCTGTGGTGGGGTTGAAGTGTGCCCATTCTGTCTGTGGTGGGGCTGAGATGCAGAGGCAGGCTGGTGCACATCCCCACAGCAAACTGCACACTGTTCTGCTCTGGACTTGGAGGTTTTGTTGAGCCTGTCTCTGGGCTGGGCTCAAGCTTCAGAGGGGAGCTGGACAGGCTGTCCCGGCCCATGGCCTATGGGAGAAGGGTGCTGAGCACTATGGTGGGCCCTCTAAGCTTCATAGAGTGTTTGTGAGAATCTGCCTTGAAGGTCATTGTGTCAGGCTGACCTCAAGAAGGGAAGAAATGGCTTCCAACAGCCCCCAAACCTGTATCTTTATCACCTCATTCTTTGGGTATTCCTATTGAAATGCAGTCCTTAGAAGAGAGGGCACAGAAGTGAATGGAAGGGCCCTGACCTGGAACCTTGGAATTGGGCACTGCCTGGTGGGTGGATCAAAATTATGGCCCAGCTCTGCCCCCATAACCTGGGACAGCAGCAGGAATAATGGACTGTGGGGTCCCTGGAACACAGATCTGACCTCATAGCCTGTTGTTTTTGTTATGTGCCGTCGAGTCGCCTGCGACTCATAGCGACCCTATGTACAACAGCCCTAAACTC